CTGACATCGGATCTGCACCCCTGCCTAGTCCTGGGTCTTGTATTGGACCAGTCCTGAGACCAGTCCTGAGACCAGCGCACAGCCTGACCACCAATAAGCCTGGCAGGCCGATCTCAGGGCAATAAAACCCTTTATAACCTCCCCCCGCGGTGCATTTTGGGACTTTTATGTAAAACCAACATGGCGGCCGCCTGCGCCAGAACCGTCTGTAAGGTCGGCTGTAATATTTTGCAGTCTCCAGCCTCCCGCCGGACCGGTACCGTCTCCTACCTGCTGGGCAATGTGAGCGCACACGGGTCCAGGAGGGCGTACGGTACCGGCGGTACCGGCGGGCCCGGGCTCCGCTCCAAGCTGCTCTCCTCCCTGCGGGCAGGAGGAGGCAGGGTGCTGGGCTGCGCCGTCCTGCTCGGTGGAGGTCTGGGTTTGTACAACACTGTGAAGTTCAGTTTCCAGCAGCACCTGGCCGAGGAGGAGCAGCAGGTGAGAGTCCGCTCCCCGGTGGCGCTAATGCGGTCACACCGTCGGTCCGGTGCACGGTGTCCCATTGAGTGACAGTTACCTAACTACATGTGTGCAGACAGGGTCACCTGAAAACACTGATCAAACTCAGTAGATTCACTCAAGTACTGTACTTAAGTACAATTCTGAGGTACTTTATTTTACTTTATTATGTGACAGCTTTGTTTACTAGTCAGGTTCAGGTAATCAACAATTAAATTCAGGTGTATCATAGATTGAACAGTATATACAGTGATTAAAACCAGCTCCACCTTTACCTGCTGTTTACACATGAATACCTCAATAATTAGAATCCAGTTCTATGATATTTATTATCCTGAAATGGGCCATCGTGCATGAGCTACTGTTTTGTTCTGTATCTGAGCTGCAGGTGTGTGTAGTGACACCTGTTACCACCAGTGTCTCAGTACACTGCGTTGGTCAGCCTGTATTAAATGTTACAAACTGATAGTGTTTCAGGACCAGCATTGTTGAAACCCACAGAGCTCAAATGTTCAAATATATATTTTTATATTTACTGGTTTATCAACCCCAAAGACCCCCTTATACTTTGTGTGTCACTCAGTTTGTGGTAATCTGATTAATTGCACATTTATTTTGGACCACTAAATCTCAGTATGAATGGACATTATGAGGGTCTTAAGGTGAGTTTTACGGTGTCACCCAGCTCTCATACCTGTCTTGTAGCGGGGCTTAGTGTCGGAATTCATTTGTTCTATATTACAAGCTAAATTTGGGTTTAAATAGATGATTGCAATTGGGGTCATTGGAGATCTACAGCTAATTCCCTTCCACAGTGCTCGCTGGGGACAAACTATTTAATGGTGACTGCATTTTCTGTACTACAATTTCTCATTGGCATGCATGTACACTGACACAGTATAGCAGCATATGCATTGTGTTCAACACCTACACATGGGTGGAATATTTGGGTGTCCCAGTACTTTTGGCAGTCTGCATAAAACCATGTATATAGGCCAAAGATATTGCACGTCAGAATCAGCCTTTATAAGAATGGTGGATCCTCTTTCTGCCTCGTTCCAGGTTTCCAGAGGAGGAGGTGTGAAGTTGACTCTGTACCAGTACAAGACCTGCCCCTTCTGCAGCAAGGTGCGAGCGTTTCTGGACTACCAAGGGCTGCCGTATGAGATCGTGGAGGTGAACCCGGTGATGAGGCAGGAGATCAAGTGGTCTGCCTACAGAAAAGTACCGATTCTGATGGTGGATGGCGAAGTGGTAAGACAGTCGAATCTCAAGATGAGAACACTTGATTTATGCCAAATGTTTCCCCCACTCAGGTGTCTTCACCTCAGATACAGGCTACAAAATGAAATTATCTCCATTTTTAGCACTTCCACTTCCAAAAAACTTATATACTTAAATATTACATTTTCTTCTCCAAAAATGTGCAGTACTTTTCAAATAATTTTCTTTTTGTCTTTTCTCTCTTTTGTTGCTCAGCAACTGAATGACTCGTCTGTCATCATCAGCTCCCTCAAGACATTTTTAATCAACAAGTAAGTTACAGCTTCTCTCGTGTGATTTTGAAAATTTGTTTTCTCTTGAAAATTATTATAATTAACCTGCCACTGTAAACCTTAATGTTAAAATCTACAAGAGTATTATGCACCATGTGTTATAAGTATATTTATTTCTTCATTGTTTTTGATATCCAGCTATGCAAATATTTTTATTTATTTATTTATAATTTTACAATTTCTCAGTCTGGGAGTTTAGGCCTCCAAGCTTTAACAGTAAACCTGCAACCGTTATTCGAATAATTAATTGACAGAAAACTAATCGGCTATTTGGATAAATGATAAATGGTTTTAGTTTTTTAGTTTTTTAAGCAGAAATGTCCAAAAAAGAGCTTTTTCCAGCTCCTCCGATATTAGTATTTTACGATTTTACGACTTTGTCATACATGATGGTAAACTCTTTGGGTCAGACAAAAAAAGATATTTGAAGACATCACCTAGGTCTGGGGGAAACAGGCATTTTTCACTATTCTCTGACATTTTACAGTCAGAGAAATGAATCAAGAAAATAATCAGTAGATTAGTTGATGAAAATAATCGTTACTTTTCTAAAATTGCCCAGGCAAATAAAACCCAAACTATCTGCATGGATACATACCATGAGAGGGAAGAGAGGAAATAAACAGTATATTTTACGTGTCATCCAGGGACAAAAGTATGTCTGAGATCCTTCGCTGCTACCCCGAGCTAAAGTCGGTGAACGACAGTGGGAAGAAGGTGACGGAGTACTCCAACAAGTACTGGTTGATGCTGAGTGAGGCCGAGACCACTGCAGTTTACCCCGAGAAGGGAATGCAGAAGTAAGTCCAGACCACTGCTCAAACACACACACACACACACACACACACACACACATATACCACTAGAGACAGAAATCATGGCCTGGAACTATCAGCATACTCTTATTTTGAAAGGTTGCCCCAGTTTTTAACTGTTTAATTGACTAATTGTGAGTCAGTATCTCATAAAAAAGTGACATTTGTTTACTCTGTTTGGCCCACATCTGGCCGTCCCGCTAATATGATGTAAATTGAACTCTGTGTTTGTTTTCTTTTCCTGTTTTCAGAGAGGAGATGAAATGGCGTCAGTGGGCCGATGATTGGCTCGTGCATCTTATATCTCCCAACGTGTACCGAACTGCCGGTGAGGCCCTGGCCTCCTTCGACTACATCGTACGCGAGGGCAAGTTCAGTACTTTCGAAGGTTTCTTTGCCAAATATGTCGGCGCCGCGGCCATGTTTCTCATCTCCAAAAGGCTGAAAAGTCGGTAAGTGGCACATGAAGAAATAATGATCTGCAGTCCAGACTGAGGCAAGCCTGAGGCATCTGTCCCTTGTGTTGCAGTAGTTGCTTATGGGGTTTGTAATTTTTGAATTTAAGTCAGTGTTTGGATGTCAAAGTGGTGATTGTTTTCCTTTTTTTAACACAACAGCCACAACCTGCAGGACGATGTCAGGCAGGATCTGTACAAGGCAGTCGACGACTGGGTGGCAGCCATCGGGAAGAAGAGGAAGTTCATGGGTGGAGATCAACCCAACCTGGCCGACCTGGTGAGGGAACACATCTGTCTCTTTCTGCATCCAGTGTTCCTGAACCTGGTCATGGAAACAAACAAACAAACAAACAAACAATTAGTTTTCATCCTCCGCTTTAATTTGAGATAAAAGCCACTTCAGATGTTCGTTTATTGTCTGGATGCTTTGTTTTCATCCACTCATGTCCTGGATAAAAAAAAAATAGAATAAACAAACTCTTATAACACAACACAAACAAATGCTAAACGTTAGCATTTGCAAAGACAATAAAGGTTACCATATTGTACAAATTTTAACATACCAAAACAGAACGTGCTAAACTAAAATTTAGCATGTTATATACTAAACTGTACAACATGCTAACTGTGTGCATGCTATAAGTTATTAACATGTTAACATGGCGTTAACATGTTAAGAAGGCATTTTAGCATGCTAACAAGTCACCATAATAATTGATAGCATAACTGTGATCATAGATAGACCTTACATGCTACATACAGCCAAAGATCCCCTATAGTGGTCACTGTACAGAGGCTTTTTTTCCCCCACTAGTGGTAGGAATTTCAGGGCAAATCAGATAACAATATTGTTTTCTGGTGCACAAAGAACATCGCAACCGTTACAACCTCATACCTTAAGTGGCTACAGATTGTTTTCAGATGGTTTTTTTTGGGTCAACTTGTCCTGCGTTATCCTCCTTGTGCAGGCAGTGTTTGGTGTCCTCAGAGTGATGGAGGGCCTGCAGGCGTTTGACGACATGATGGAGAACACCAAGGTCAAACACTGGTACAGACGCGTGGAGAGAGCCTCGCTCAACCACGAGGGCCGCGACTGAAGCAGGAGTGAAGTGGAACGGGTGAAGGAGACCACGGGAGGCCACAGGAGACCGAGTGCTTCCAGCTTCAAAAAGACTGAACAGTAAACCGCCAGAGAGACGGTGACCAGCATCAGGAGGCAAGAAGTCCTGCTTTGAACGGTCGCTACTGCCCTGATTGATTTCCTGCTCGACATACATGAGTTTCAACCTGTTGATTTGTATGAATGAGTTAACTGCAGACATTTATGTAGATGATACACATGAATATACTGTTGCCAGATATCTGATATCTGACCATTTAATGAGCGAGCTGCTTGTGGAGAACCTATCGACTCTGCTGTTCATTTAAGAGCATTTTACTGGCATCTACTGGTGAACTGTGGTAACTGAACAATATTATATATTCTTGAAATATACTTGACAGTAAAGTCATGTTTTCACAATACAACAAAAACCAATAAGTCAGCCTATCTTGGTTCAGCAATCTTGATTTTCCTGCAAATGTTTCTTTATTTTGTGTTATGTGAAGGTGAAACTATCACTGTCCCTTTTTAATAGTCTAACAGCCCACAGGGTTTTTCATGCTGATCTAGAAATCATTTTACCTATTTCCAGGCCTTGAATTTGTGTCACATGAAACAACAGAAATGTTGCAGGATGAGTTTCCAGAACTGGCCCTGATACTGCTTCATCAAAGCATTACCACAAACCTGAAGGACACACACAAACAAAAAGACCAATGTCAACACTGAAGTTTACAATGCTTATATTTCACATTCAGTACTGTATATTGTTCTAGATTAACATGGTCTACTACTGTGGTTCTCAACCAAAGATTGGGGGCTCCCAGAGGGATTTACTCAAATATTTGCCCATTTTTCCTCTCAAATATTTGTCTTTAGTTTTAGCTCTCAGCCTCATCTGACTGCAGAAACGGAACTGAAATTGGCCTAGTTACTCTCAGATTGCTCAGCAAATTTATAATTGCCTTTAAAATCACCTTAAATTAAGACACGTTGTTGCTCTGGAAAAACTGCTTATTTGGATTTTTTTCAAGGTTCAGTAGACTTTGTGTTTACTTGGCACAGACACCCTGAGATCAGGTTATCTCTGTGGTTGTATCTTTGTTTCTCTGTGTAACTGATGCAAGATCAGTCTGGCAGAATCAGTACGCTCATCGGCTGGTGTTCACTTCCTGGGGTAAAATAAGATAAGAACTGGTGAGCCAGTTTGAATGTAATTAATATGCAAACTGCAGATCAATTTCTGAATTAATTGTATTAAAACCACCTTGATGTGCATAGTTGTAAAAAGGTAAAATAAAAAAGGAAACCTTGAGCTGTGTTTTATTCGTGCACCAGACATTTATACATTATGATGATTAGTATTGGGTGTTAAAGTCAATAAAAACTACATTTTGTAATTACTTACATGCAGGACGAATGCAGCCTGCACAGGCAAATTGTGTTTATTATATTAAATTTATTTGATGAGTTACTTTGCAGATTCAGATTATTAATAGAAAATAAGCAAATAAATGTATTTTATAAGTAAAGATAAAACTATTGATGCCTGAGGGTCAATCCATAAGCTACCAAACAGCATATTAACTAATTAAAATTAGATCCACCTTCACCAGATTTAACATTACCAAATTAACACATCAGTCATACTCATTAATATATAGTATTGTAAAATGGGTCATTCTGCATAATAAGAACCTTTAGTTGTATGTATATTTTTATTGTATATTTTGATACCAAACCTCTATACTGTTGAGTAAGATTTTGAATTTGTGACATTACTTGTGAACAGTATTTACAGTTGTATTAATGCATTTCATTTAAAATAAACTAAATAGTTTCTGTCAATCAACTTCCATTCTACTAAAGATGTAAAGTGTATAATTTATTTTATATAGAGTGCAAAATACCAAAAAAAAACCCAAGGACGACAAACACTGAGTAAACTGCTGATGAGGTTTTATTTCAGACATCTGGTTTATAGATACAGATGAGAACAACAATCATTCTGGTAATAAACCTTTATAATCTACATTATATTCAGAACACACTTTAAAGCACTGAGGCAGATTTCTGTTTCAACATGAGGATCAAATCATTTGTGTTTTGGAAATATTGACTAATGCACTTCAGCAGTTTTGCACATATTTCTAATCTTGGGGCAGCTCCATTCACAATGATTACACTGACAGTTCATCAGAGCACAAATCTTTGTTCCACATGGTGGATTCATAAAAAAATAAATAGCAAGTTCAAATCATTCAACACAATTCTGATTGGAACAGCGACTGTGGAGACTTAATAAAAACAAACAGCAGTGATCCTGTAGTGGACAAATAAAGTCAAATAAAGAGCTTTTCCCCCCACACAGGGATTACAACACACTACCAGTAAAACAGCTCCACATCATGGTCTTTGAACTCTGGAAAACTTTCAGCCTGAGGCAACGCAAGGGAGACATTTACATCTCAACACAACATAATTATTGTATGTCCTAGTTTCAGAATTTGGTTCTTTTTGCTGGATTTTTGTTGTGCACACACGAATAATAAAGTATGTTCTTAAGCTGTAAGCAGAAAACCATCAGTTCATACTGATGTTGGGAGGACGGATGTGTTGGCGAGACGACGTGTACTCCCTTCATTGTTTCAATCCAGAGATGAATATCTTACTTCTAAAACTGTTGAATTAATGTTGTACTCAGAAAATGTAGTTGGGTGTGTACCGTCCACCACATTCCTACTGATCAGTTCTTTGAGTCATCCAGTGAATGAACCTGACACAAAGTTCATGAGCCACAGAAGCTGTATTACCCAGATCAACAGATGTGACACACATCTTCCTACAGGAGCGGCTTTGACTTTTCCTCTCCGATTAGCGACTAAAGTTGGTTGTAGACTAAGTCTCCAGCCACAAAGCACACAGTTTTCCAGCCTCAGACCACGTCCCTCTCCGCTTTATTCAGTCCTAAGCGACGTCATGCAGCAACATCCGACACTGCTCCTCCTCCATCACGACCTCCAGAACATGGCGCTCAGCTGGCCTTTGGGCGGACTGATCTGTCGGCTCTGCAGTGACGTCTACGCGTGGGAGACAAAGTTAAGATGTTTCACAAGAAAGAAAAACCAAGATTGAGATCACAAAAACTAATTAACTATTATATTTTTATTTCTTTTCTGTGTGTGTAGCAACAACTGGACACAACTTTATTTCTATTTCCATATTCTTCACTTTAAATTTGGTTCTCCACCCTACATTTCTACTCTTTAACTTAATGCCTCATCTGGGGAGCAACCTGACTCCATGTGACGTCTCATTTCAGAAACAAAACATTTTAGGGACGACGGCGTTACATTGTTCTCAACTTCAGAATAAAACACGCTGTAAGGATTAAACCACTTTTAACCCCTGAATTGGTTGTTTAAAGCTTCTCTGGTGATTCAGAAAGAGCTTCATTCAGTTTGACAGTTTTGAAACGTTTGCCACTAAACAATGGGATCAGCACATTACTGGGATTACTGAGCTTCAAATCTTTTTTTGGCACAAATTGAAAGAAAGCTCCAAAGCTTCATAAAGCTTCATCCGCCGATCACTACTGAAGCAGCCTTTTCTTTTGTTGTGTCTGTGTTGTGCACCCAAAACAAAGTTGCCTCTCTCTTTATTTACCAACACGTTTGTCGCTTGAGTTAATGCATCATACAAGTTTAATGTCTGCCTAAGTACAGTGCTAACATTAGCAGTGGGTTGACATACCTCTAGAAACTGTTTGAGTCTGATGACGGAGCCCATCTGTCCAGTGCTGGTCACTGCTTCAATTCTGGACACACCAAAGAGACACATTCAACACAGACAGAGGCAAGTTCAATTGGTGGCGACAGCTGCAGGTAAAACATTTGACCTGTTGATGAATCAACATGCTTTAAATCTGAAGTGAGTGTGTACCTCTGGAAGTATTCATCTTTAAGGAGCAGGATGAGTTTCCAGAACTGGC